TGCATACTCCAGTATACTTATCATATCATGTGATCCACCATGTGGCAACATTATTTGGCCCTTAGCTTTTTAAAACTTGGCAATCTCTTCCAATACAGGAAAGGAGCTCGAAAGAAGGCTGGAAAGATGAACTACAAAGGCAGTGCTCCTAGTATCCAGGAGTTTGTGCCCCAACCACTTGCCAACTCGTGACAAAGGCAACTCAATGTCTACGCGATAATTATATTCATTGATAAAGTATACTGGAGTATGCGGATTGTGACTTTGAGCAAATACGCCCTCATGCAGCAGCTTGAATTGGGCCGTTCGATACTCTCTTTAAGTATTATATACTCTTGCCTGTAGTTGTAATACATTTTGTAGTTCATCTTCCATTATTTGATTGTCTTTCAGCAAATTAATTTGTGTGAGTTGGCCTTCTACAACTTGTCAAGCTTCAACTAAACCTGGTTAGGTCGCATTGACAACAAAGTGTTAAAAGCCTTTGATGCCTTTTATTTTGTTAAATGATGTTGCAAAGTAACTAGACCAGTCAAATGTTTCTACAATGAGTTCACCATTGCTACTTCATACTGGTTGGGCTTTCTTAATAGCAGATGATTGTTCTAGAACTTGAACAAAGTCATCCAATGAGTCCACATCTGCTTTACGAAACTTTTGCTTTAAAAGTACAAAGCACCAGTCTGTAAAAAATTTTGTATGTCCAACTGGCAGAAAGGATATTGAAACGGATGCATAAAGTCCTGTCATGACTCTCAATTAAAGGTACTAAAATTAATAAAGAATAACATTTAAAAAGTTACATTATTGTGCATGCATTATACTTGAATAACAGCATCAGTTTTATTTTGCCTTGAGCAGTTGTCAGCATTGAAATGGATATTAACTGAGTTAAGGCCATGATTCTTGAAATAAATATGTACCATGCTTATGACAGGATTGGCCCCCTTTGCCAGTGTTGAATGATTCATCGATCACGCAAATAACCTGCTGAGATGTAGCTTCAGAGCACACTCCGAAGACATTTCCTGGGAGTAAGAAAGTAAATTGGTCCTGCTTGCAGTGGACTTAAAGGATAGTGAACCTAAAAAAATAAGTAAGCTAGACACACTTTAATGTCATAAAATTATCGTTACCTGTTGAGCATAATAGAAGCTATAATGTGCCACAATATTTAGCATGGCAAGTGGCCTTGTCAGTGGAGATTGTAATTGTCTGCCGTATCTGTAAACAGCCCTTATAACAATAATTGTGCCTCTTTTAATACATCCTTATAGTACTTCATTTCCTTTTTCACAAGACTTCTGTCATCTAGTGCCTTTTGCATTGCCTAAAAATGATAAATATTATATGTGTTATTACAGTACTGACTTACCTCAGTAATCCTTTCATCTGATTGCATGTTTGCACTTCTTATAATCAGTCCACTTATCTTTTTACAAGTAGCACACAAGTCAGACATTGGCTTCATTTTTTGAAATTAGGCAGGTAGCGTCGCCACAACATGTTGAATGTTGTTTCAACACATGCTTTAATGTGAAGCCCTTCACCATAATTCTGCATACTCTAAATATACCTGCCTTTTAGATGTACTGCATGGTAAGAACTTATTCTTGTAACTTTTCATTCCTGGTATTCTCCCAGAAAGACTTATTCCTTGTACTTCAGCGTAATTTCTGATGAACACAAGAACCCTGAAATGTCACATAAGTCAAAGCATGGTTTGGTGTCTGTCCAGCATTTCCATGAACTCTAATAAATTTAAGTTCATAACATTTAACTGTAAGTCTCATACTTTGGTATTAATCCATTCATTTTGTAGCTTTTCATGATTTCCTCAAACCTACTTTTTCCACATGCATGTAGCTTTATAAATGTTATTGTACATATCTAGTTGAAAAAGGTAATTAATTTTGTGTTGTGTCACTTATAGGTACAAACCTTATGACCTTGATGCATGAACGTAACAAATTGCCGCTTTCTTTCTGTCTCCTGTGGTTGCCAGTTGACAATCCCTCATGGTAGATGTTGCTGCCATTTGACTGATAATAGCAATCTTTGAACAGGCTTCGCCATGGCTTGTATGTCGCATCTATATGTTTTAATGTAAGAGTGACTGAACAGTGCATAGCAATTATTTAAGCAACCACATCCGTGTTCAAAAAACTTTGATAATTTTTCTTCCTACTGTGGTCTTCCTCATGTCTTCACAAGAGTCAGTAGTTGGAAGTAGCTGGAGCATCAGGCATTGCTGATTCTAAATCAACATCTGATACTTGTAGCTCCATAGCCACCTCTGGATCAAACAGTGGTGGATTAATATCTTCATCACAATGTTCTGTCCCTTTCTCTTCCTCTTCTTCCACATCTACTTCTTCATATTGTCTCTTTCAATTAACAAATACACTGCATAACTAAGTTTAATATAATATTGTGCATTTATACAGGTGATGCAATACCATTGTTGTGATAGCTAACTGGTATTTATAGTTAGTATGCAAACAAACTGTGTTGGGAATAAGCTTACCATTAGTTTTATCACAAAAGTAATCCCCAAGAACTGAAGCAACGTAGTCACTGTCTCTAGGACCTATTTCTTCATATAACAAGCAAGCAATGTCTCTTTCTGTAGCCATAGTTTTAAAAGTAGTCTTCTTTGTCTTTGTTACACTTTACATATTTGCTATGGAGACTCCATGGTTACCTTTGACGCATAAAGCACTTTGTTTTTGTTCCTTGTTCACTCCGTGTAACATTCTCCATGCACAGTCATGGAAAAATGTTGAAGCGTCTCAAAAGCGGACGGATGCGCACGGACCCAAAAGGGACGGACAGACGGACTGATGCAGACTCAATAGGGACCATAAATATCTATGCAAAGGACCATCATTTATGGATAGTCTGTCTATAAGACACTTTTACACTTAAACAATAAATTTTTGTATGTATTATTTATGCTAGGACAAACAGAAGAGATCATTTTAACGAAAATGTAACTTTATTACTTGAATGCAAAATTTGTACTAGATGCACTGAGCCATCACTTGAATTCTATTTTCTTTTTTTTAATAGGAGTTCAGCGACACAATTATAATGATTTTGCTATATTATTTGGTGCAAGTCTATATATCTTCAATCAATATCTTCAAAGAGGGATTACCATGGTAACTTACAGTGAATCAGCAGAACTTATGAATTAAAATTGCTATAAATTGTGCATGTTATATATTGATCTATTATTTTGGTATTCATTCCTATTATTATTTATAACGTGTTACAATTACAGTTATTTCTAGTATTATAATAATAATAAAAATTATTATTATTATCGTTATTATTATTATTATTACTATTATTATTATAACTGATTATTCTTTTCTTCATTTGCTAAGCTAATTCATACGTGCACAATGTTCTTCCTATAAGTAACTTAACTAATCATGTCATAATTCCTTTCATATATATATATCATGATGAAGCCACACATCAAAGGTTAAGCAATGCACATATAAGTCATACAAAGCACTGTAGGTATTGTGCTTGTGTAAACTGAGCGCCCACATTATAGTTAGTCATTTCCGCACCAGAAATTTGGGTGTGTTTAATTATAAAATGGCTGCTAGGAATAAATGTTTAGTCAATAACACAAAGTGATAAATGAGGTATTAAATGAAATAGATAAATGAAAGAAACGATAAATACTGTTAAAAGGAAAGGTTAGTGTCAAAGTTTATTGTTGAAATATTACGTCTCCTATTTCTCTTTTTCTTGAGGTAGCGGATTACCAGCAAATTGGTGAGACAGTGAAGAATCACAGGAATACGGATAATGAGGTGACCAAGGTTGATAGTAATAAGGAGGCGGCTGAGGACAGTGAAACATGTTTACTGTACAATTATAGTAATTGCCTCCCGTTGCATTTGTAGGCTTAATTGGTGGGATAATAGCAGGCTTTATATCCTTATCATCCCCTGCTGGCAGTATAGGTGGGATAATAACAGGCTCTATATCCTTATCATCAGCATCAGGAAGAATAGGTGGGATAATAGCAGGTTTGATATTTTCATCTTCAGTAGGAGTAGCAGGTGGCTTGACCTCTGCAAATGTACATTTAGTTCTAGCAAAATGATCAGCTGAGCCAGAGAGTACTTTTGATACCATGTTTACTAGATCATTTGTCACCCTTTCATACAGTCGCAGAGCTTCAACAGATTTGTGTCAAGTTCTGCTTTGAATTATTTGTTCTGGTACACCAGCATGAAATAAAGCTGTGGCACCTGTTACTCGAAGACTATGATTAGTTTTTTTTGCCAGATATCCCTGCAGTCTCACACATTAACGCTACCATTTGATTAAGCATGTTACGTCCTATTGGTACAGCAGAATACCATGGTTGAAGCTCGGACGATGTTTTTTGTAACAGGCGGCAATAAAACAAATCTTTCATATTGGCCTCAGATGGCAGTTTCCTTATGTAGAGGTCTAACAAATATACATGACACCTCACTCCTGCCTCTGGATCTGCCATCACAGGAACAGCTTTATGTTCCAATCTCAATTCTCGAAGACCCCCTTTACGATTTTTAGACGAATTCTCCGTATAAATGTACCGATCAGGTCCTGTCTCTCTTTTTAATTGTGATAACTTTAAATCCCTATGTTCCTGACCACCCCGAAGACAGAAACATTTGCCATTGTAAAAGAAGACAGCTCGTAGCAACCCTAATGGTATTGTTGTATTCAGCACACCAGAACTCCAGAGTTGATCTTCTTCTTCTTTAGAGATACCTTCTGTGTGCTTTGATGCTGACCCTATTCCTTCACTTCGTAGCTTTTTATACAGATTATCAAGTGTAGTATTGAAAACGTTAAAACTTCCATTATTCTTATCCATGAAGTTGGGATACATGGGGTTTTGTGCTTTCATGTGGCGATAAATTCCTGACAAGAGGGAATGAATTGTAGCCGGCGGGTATTCTTGGCCAGTGTGGGACCTAGTCTTGGCAGCGTATACACAAAGTCATTTGTTTAAAACTTCGACAGAGCAAGTGGGAAGCAGCAGTTCATCAGGGCATTTGTTGTCGGGTTTTCTGGAGTTGTATCCATAAAACCAGTCGGTGAAGTTCTTCATCGACCATTTTGTGCTGGCTTCAGTGTTTTCCGGAATTTTCTGAACAGATAGACTTTTGAGCTCTTCTTCTGTTGCTCTTTTGAAACGTTTGGATAACGATAGAGATACCTTACGCTTCCTTTTTGGCGGCGAGTTCTCCTTCTCTGCCATTGCCATCGCCGGACACGTGGTAGTCTGACACGTGGTACTGAGCATGTGCAGAGATGTGTGGTTCCACCCTAACATATATTATTTATAACACGCCGTCTCGTGCTATATATGGCTTTTATAAGGACCTCGCCCTCGGGCTCGGTCCTTTTAAAAGCCGTATAGCACTCGCCGGCGTGTCATAAATATTACATATATATATATGTGCATGCTTTTATTCATTCTTCAGTTTTTGCAGTTGCTGTGTGCTAGTTCCTTTTTTTAAAGAGATTTTTAATCCTAAGTTAATCTTCCCTCACGACATTTCCTTCAACACTTTGGTCACAACAAAAATTGCAATCTTTTTTCAGAGTAATAATCATGTTTTGTGGAATACCAGCTGCAATCTTCAATAAATTGGTTGCAAATCAACCTCATGAGACTGTTGACTGATACTTTAACGGAAGTTATTTCATCACAGCTGCATGTCTGTATAATATTTATGTTTAAACACTGTCAAACTAGGATTATATATGATGTAAGCGAAGTTGAATTCAATGTAATGCCTTGTCAAGTCAGAAGCATTGGATTGTAATATTATGATTTTTTAAATTTAACTCTCGACAGTATTAAAAATTTGTATAGGTTATTAAGCCTTGAAGATATTAAGTCAATTTTCAATGTATTGCATGATATTTTACTCTGACCAAACAAGCAATTACTGGTATAAACCGACATTTCATTTCAATCATTGCTGTTATTCAAATTTAATTGTGTTTTCAATGTATTTGAAGAAAAAGATAGTGGTACACACACAAGTTATTAAAAATAAAAAATTGAATTCCAGTGATGGCTCAGTGCATCTAGTAGCAATTTTGCATTCAAGTGATAAAGTTATGATTTCATGAAAATGACCTCTTCTGTTTGTCCTAGCATAGCTAATACGTACATAAATTTATTGTTCAAGCATAAAAGTCTTATGGACAGTTTATCTCTGAATGATAGTCCTTTGCATAGATATTTATGGTCCCTGTCGGGTCACCATCAGTCCGTCGGTCCCTTTGGTGTCCTTGCGCGTCCATCCGTCTGTTCGTCTGCTTTCGAGACTCTACCTATAACTGAGTGCCATGAAGTACTGCGATCGGGCATTTATGGTTTACTGAGTATAAACTATATACATTAGCCTAACCATATTCATTAGCCTAACTATAATTATAGTGAATAGCATTTGCTACATGACCTGAGGTTAATATGATTTGTAGTAAGTGGCAGTGGTCAGTGGTGTCTTTAGTGTCATTGATATTTCTTGTGTCAGTTGTGTCAATGGTGCCAGTGGTGTGGTTGTAGTGCCAGTAGTTTTTGTAGTGTCAGGGGTGTTTGCGGTGTCAGTGGTGGTTGAAGTGTCAGCTTGCAGTGTCAGTGGTGGTTGAAGTGTCAGTGGTATTTGTAGTGTCAGTGGTGTTTGTAGTGCCAGTGATGTTTGTAGTGTCAGTGGTGTTTGTAGTGCCAGTGATGTTTGTAGTGTCAGTGGTGTTTGTAGCGTCAGTGGTGTTCTTAGTGTCTGTGGTGTTTGTAGTGTCAGTGGTAGTTGTAGTGTCAGTGGTATTCGTAGTGCCAGTGGTGTCTGTGGTGTCAGTTTAACTTATACCTTTACGTTTCCTAGTGTGTCTTGTACAATCTATTAAAAATTCTTTGAAAAGAGATACAAATATCATTACCGCAGACTTTGATGCGAACATACCTGGTATCTCCTGCTCTTCATTGATGACAACGACTACTTCACGAGAAAAATGTAAATTCATCGAGGATTTTGTCCCATCTTTCTCCACTGTCATTAAACCTAGAATGAAACTGTGACATGTAGGACACAAATTAGTCAAGATGTGAACATACCTGGTATCTCCTGCTCTTCATTTTTGACATTGACTGCTTTAAGAGGGATATCTAAATTCTTTGTGAATTTGTCTAACCTTTCTCTACTGTCATTACTGACCTAGAATGAAAGTGACATGTAGGACACAAATTAGTCAAAATGTGAACATACTTGGTATCTCCTGCTCTTCATTGATGAAGATTAGTACTTTAAGAGGAAAATCTAAATTCATTGCAGATTTTGTCTAACCTTTCTGCACTATCATTACACTTAGAATGAAACAGTGACGTGTAGGACAAAAATTGGTCAAGATGTGAACATAGCTGGTATCTCCTGCTCTTCATAGACTACTGTAAGAGGAAAATCTAATTCATTGTGAATTTTGTCTAACGTTTCTTCACTGTCATGACACCTACAATAAAACAGTGATGTGCAGGACACAAATAAGTGAAGATGTGAACATATCTGGTATGTCCTGCTTTTCATCATTGACACTGACTGCTTATGAAATATTATTTTTAGCATTTTTATTCTTTCATTAACCATTGCTAACAATCATCATTCTATTGACAGGATGGGGAACAGGGGTAACTGGATATTGACAAAAAAGCTTAAAGTTAAGGATAACTAATGAGTAAATACACTCACAAGCCTCTTTTTGTGATAAGTATTAGATTCTATAGACAGTATAGTACTTATTGCATCAATAAAAGCAATTTATAGTCTAACTTACCAGATGCAGCATTTTCCACTTCAATTCCACATGCTATTATGAAAAGTATTATCCAAACATAAGTTTAATGGCAGTGAATATAAGTTGCCTCAAGCAAATATCACCTTGACATTGTGAGTCATGCAACTTTGATTGATTGCTACACATTTTTGTCTTATGCTGTTAACGTTTCTTTTAATGGGTGGTTTTTCCCCAGGTGCCAGGAAGTCTTTGTTCTCTTGTAGTCGACCACAGTTAGCATAGCCTGGATTTATTTCATAGCCCATTTATTTGAGGACTTAATTCGGCGTTCAACCACAGTTAGCTTTTTTGTAGCCTGGATATTATAAGAATATGTTTTAAAGGCCATTCATTTGAGGACTTAATTTGGCCCAGGTGGATTATGCCAGCATAACTTTTGCATAATAGGACTTCAAAAAACATAAGTATAATGTAAGCATAATAGGACTGTAATAAAGAATTTTGAAAAATATAAAAATATATGGGGAAATGCAATAAACAGCCACTTGCTCTCCCTTACTGTTTTTCATTGTTTTACAGCTCAATTGTGCTGTACTGTGATCACAATTTTGGGTGGGGTTAGGATAATAATGAAATTCATAGGCATAACTGGGAGATTGGAGCAATTTCAGAACATAATTCTCTAGACCCTAGACCAAATTAGATGTGGACCTCACCTCTTTCACATCAGGAATTGAATTTGACAGTTGGGGTCTGACATTACTGAGTACCACTGCCACCACTGGATTACCAGCCACTATCAAGTCCATCTTCATGAACACTAGTACCTATGTTCATATAATGTACATACATGATGAGCACAAATATGCACTGAAACTAAACTTCATCAATAGATTTATTATCAACAGCAACAACAATTTTTTTTCAAAGTTTTGTCCAAGATTGCTTCATTTGGCAGTGTCATCGGACTCAAGTTATAGTGCATTAATGTATCCCATCAAGTGTATCTCCTCTTTATCACACATGGCCCCAGATAATAACTATTATCAGAAAACATGTTTTGAGGATACGATTTGCCATACTTCATTGGTACATTATGACAGAAGAGACCAATTGTACAATGACCTTCCAAATCTCTTTTCAATCTTTTACGCATTGTTGACATTTTCTCTCTATTGTGCAGTACATTCCCTAAATTCCCTGCCCATCCGAATAATGCTGACAATTTCCCACTCGCGAAAAGGTATTCTAAATCTGATGAAGCTATTTGTTACAACTGGTTTATACCTCTTCTCTACTGATTTTGTAGTTAGTGAAAATTATGGGCATTGATGCTGGTGTCTTAGAGCCTCTTTTACATTTACCACTATGACCCTAATTGAAAAAATAAACCATGATGTCACTGATGTTGGCTTTAGATGGTAGATCATCAATACAAAAGGGCAATATGCTGCAAGCAGCTCTCTTGCACATAAAAGACTTCTTGCAAATCTTGTAGTAATTCTATTTTCCTAATCCTACAAGAAATGATTTTGTCACAATTCAATTATACCTATCATTGCCAATCCTATTTTCATAGCTGTTGTTTTACCAGTTTGAGGAGGACCATGTGCCACAATCATGGGGCAAGGCAGTGACTTATAGTGCAGCGCCATGGTAATCCCAGATATCATTAGCAATGCTGCATGATAATTGTGCTTAAAAGTCACCTTTATTGTCGTCAAAAGCCTAGAATTGCATGAATAGTTGACATTCAAACATACACATGATTTTAGTTACTTTTTCAGTTCAGTTGTCTCAAATGGTAGCTGTAATTTCGGAATTACTTCCGACCTGTATTGTCACAGGAAAACTGTCATGAATATTTGTCAGCCAAACGTACTTCCTTTAGTCGCTATCAACAACCTTCCAATTACAATGAATCTCTATATTACCAAGGATCACGTCTTCTCACCTTGTTGAGGACCATAAGGTACCTTTTGTCAATTATGGTCACAAATGAAGAGAAGTGATTATCGTTTAATGCTAGGGAAATGCCACCACTGTTAAAAGAATTGTTTCACTGTGACATAAATTTTGCTTTTGTGATTTGCAGAATCAATG